CGGGGTAAGGAAAGTTATCTGACCTCTTCTCAAAACACTACGGGTTATGTGACACCACTATTTGATCCTACCGCGAAACAAAAAGGGACAAAGAAGAAGGCAAAGTAGGACAGGCCGACAATTCAATAATTCAACTCTCGAATAAATGGAAAATAACGTTTTAATTGAAAGAGAAAAATTATGTGATTTCTAATGGACTTCCAAAATAGTCCGTCCTATTTACAGGGCGATATAGGACCGACTCGTTTGAGGGCGAAGCGAAAATCGCTCTCAAAGAATTACAAGCTTCAGGAAAATTATCAGGAAATACGCAGGGTGAGGTAACAGGAAATCACAAATTAGGGAACGGGATCGAGCCTGAGTACTCGATAAATTTGACGAACTTAACTAGTCCCGACAATGTTCTAAGAGCCAAAATTCAATGTTAAATAATCCTGCACTGACTCGAATTTCTCACTTTAATAAATTCGCGCCTAAGAGAAATAGATTTCGGAAATATTCGTAATTACTCTTCCAAAATAATTATGATTGGGGTCTAAGAGAAATACTTTCGGAAAGGTTCGCGATTACTAAAAATTCTAACGAGGCTAAATTTTGGTCCAAGACAAATAAATTTCAGTTATGTTCGATTATTCTGCAAAGATAATTATACTTGTGGTCTAAGATAAATAGGGTTCAAATATGTTCGATTACTCGCTCGCTGTTCGCTCGACGACAAATATATCAGATATATAAGAAAATTCAGAGAGAGACAAAATTAAGATAAATTACAGGAAAACATGTGTCATGAACATAAGGATATCGCAGCCAAAATCGCAATAAAATATTACGCCAAGTTCGCAGTGAATTTTTACGCCCAATTCGCAATTACAAATATTAATTAGTCGACGGGAGATATTGAAAAACAATAGAGAGCCTTTAAACGTTAATTATGCCAGAAATATAAAAGGGTACTCGGCATCTCAGATTACTCGAAACAACGACTACGCGGGGACTTACGTCCTGCGCGCTCGGAACGCGACGCGGGCGACCACGCGGTCGCCGCGCGGCTTCTTCGCCTCCAACCGCGGGGAACTCGAAACAATGTCAGGAAAATGTCGCGACGCAACTCAAAAATGACTCAACAATTCACTAACCCTTAGAAATCCGCAGAAAATTACCCGACTCGAAAAGCAAAGATAATAACGGGAACAATTTCTCGATACTTAGAAAACGCGAGAACAAAAGGACTTTATTAATCACAATTCCTAAATGGCGGACAACTCGGAAACGGCTTGGCCCTAGCCCGGGTAGCCTTCACTCTACTTGAACTCTAATCGCGACCGGGACTTTCCTTTTTCGCTTTTGATTTCACCCGGCGGATTCTCCACCCCCCAAGAACGCGATTCGGTTGCTCGCCCGCGCGGGACGCGGAGAGGCCGCCCTGGCGACTATCGCTCCGGCCGCCGGCACGAGACTTATGCCGGATTTTCCCCAAAAAGCTGCTCGCCCGCACGATTCTTTCCTTCCGCCGGCACGAGACTTACGCTACCGATCCTCCGGGCGCGAACTAAGGTCGCTTAATAACCCGGGCTATTATTTTATCCGCACAACAGAGAATCCGCGATCAAACAGAAAAGGAAAGCTTTCGCCCGAAACTACTTCGCGACCGATGCCAGAAAATACGATAACCCGCGAGGGACTCTAATTCACGAAAAACCGGCTCCCCGCGCACTCAGAAAACGGGCACTTACTTTATCGGCCTTTTTGCCGCCGCTCGCCGGCTACCTCGGTGCCTCCACCTCGCTCCTCCCAGGGATGGTGGTTCGGGGCTGCGACGTGGCTTCCTCTGGTCTCAGCAAAGTTGTAGAAAATGCCAGAAAACAGGAAATGGTCCAGAGAACAGGAAACGGTCCAGAGAACAGGAAAGGCGATGCGTCCGGTCCGACGGTCCGTGGGCGAAGAAGGTCGGAGCGCTCAGTGTCCGGCTGGTTATAGGGCTCCGGGCGGTCACTNCTAAAATAATTTTCATTAATTGTTTTTGTTTATAAATATTTATTTTCTTTAGGAAATCCTTTCTGCCCCTCGAGCGATTCGAATTCCGCGCTGCTCCCGCCGCTAGTACTCTGCGCGGCCGGAGAGAGCAGTGCGAACCAGGTGCAAGCCATCGATGGAGTCCAGTGTACGCGCATTATATCCCATGCTGCAAATTGTGATAATGCAAATTTTCCTATTTCAGCTAACGGAATACGTATTACTATAATTAATTAACGGAAGTTTTTATTATCCAAGTGCTGTTTAAAGTTTAATGCAGAGGGTCTGCCAGCTGATTCACTAATAAATCGATAAACTTTTGTCAGTTCGTATATCAACGTATAATTTTTACGTTCCGGTTGGCAGTTACGAAAAAAATGTATCAAATATATTAAATGCGTTGCAGAATAAACTTTTATTACGTTTCATATATTTTATTTTATTTACAAACTTTTGATTTCTTATATATATTCACTACAGCCTTCTCTCTGGTTAAAACTTGCCGCTGCTGCGGTACGTGGTACCCGACATCACCACCTGGCAGTGTCGTATACACGAGGAAGCCATTCATGACCGCCAGTGCACTATAGAAAAAAAAAATAGTACAGAACTTTTCGACTCGTCTTCAACAAGGATAGCGCTGTATGCTACGCCGTGGCTACGAGTTCTGTTACACCCTGTATAGATATTTGGCTATAAAAATATGGACTGCTAGTCACCAACTTCACACAGGTTGCTACGTTATTAGCGCCATCGTGGACCAAGAACTATCGATTTCGTATACCCGGAGTTCTAATTCTAATTCACAACGAAATTGATTCGCGTGTAATTAAGGAAAATGAACCGCTACTGCTTGGTTAAAGGCTGTCTTAGGACAAAATATCCGAGTGAAAATAGAGAGAATGACGCAAATTTTGCATTTTAAGGGATTAACTAATGATATCGGATTAAGTGATGTCTTATTTATTAACAGCTAACTTTCATTGTCCGTGTAGCGCGAAGCTTTGAAGTGTATTTTAAAGTATATGAAGAATTAAATAAACGTTCAACAGCATGTTGAAGAAAGATTCCAAATGCTATTACTCTCGATACAATTATTTTAGTTATAAATTTCAGGACATTTTAACGTTCTGAATTGGAATAGAAATATCTAGAGATAAAGTTATTCCAAATGTAGCTTATCTTTTAGTATCTCTTTGACTTGAACAATCGGTCCCATAGATGACGTTATCTCGATCGAAACAATTATATTTGAATTTCCCTCCTTTTTGGTCCATGATTTGGACCTACACCACGGTTTATGTTGGTCTCGCTTTTCGAGCTGTCAATGCATGATAAAATACGAGCTGCTTTCAGTCCATACCTATATATATATAGTCGAAGATATAGATCAGTTTCTCGGACCGTGTTGTAGCATTGTGAACACAGGGTCTAACACACCTTTTCTTCTTTGCATCATACTCTCGAGAGTAACTCTCCCGAGGTCATATAACTTTAGATCCACCGTACGTTATTTCTTTAACGACCGGTCTTCGATTTGAAGATAATTTCGTTTTCATGCCTCATTTCCATACACGCAGAAACTACGCGAACGCAGAATGGCCTTGAGACGGCTTCACCAATCAGCCTAATTCATTAGCCCTCACGCGCCTACTGCGTTCCTCGGCCCGCGTTTATTCCGAGCGGTTTCCGCGTGTATAGAAATGAGGCATTAAGCTATACGTTGTCGTCTCGGTTTTGTTAACGTTACAATCAAATATTTACGATGACAAATAAATTAGATAATCACAGCAAGCCATGATTTTCTCAGTTTGTTTCGGTTAGACGTTAAAACTATCCACCGATACATGTTTCGAAAAAACCTGCCACGCGTTTTAGAGTTGCTAATTTTAATTGATTTAATTTCACCAAGCAAAGGAAACCTTTAAAGTCAATAATGTCCCTAATCAAATGACCAACATTGATTTTCATCATTGTTTTGTGTTCTTCGCAAAACTGTATTGACGTTGAACGATGACTGGATAATGATATCTTCGGTTTCGTCATACGGAGACGATGTTTTGAACTACGCATACGCGAATATCAGCCTGTACGCAGACAAAGTCTGGGCTTACGACCAAGAGGATCATTACCGGAAACTTAATCATTTCTTATGGGTGCAGGTACGGCTTCATTTTCATTTAAGGAGTAAGCCAACATGTGTGGAGGTGTTGTGACATTATAGACATAATACAGCATTGAGCTTTTCAATAATTACTTTAATTGTAAATTAATTTATTTACTTAATACTGTTGAATTCGGTGAAATTCTGCCTATATATGGTTGGCTTTAAATCATTAAAAACACGCCTCGTGGCAACAATGAATATCCATACCTTAGTACTCCTGTTAGAAAATTCAATTCCTGGGAATTTGTAATTGAGTCGTATTTTCATTTTGAAATCGAGCCCACCGTGGATTCGGTAACTTTGGAATGGACGTAGGGTACCTATCAAGATAACGTGTAGTAAGATATAGCAGTTACATTCACACAATTTAAGTTATCAGGAAATTCGATAGAGTTTCGCACTAAAAATTAACACGTGCATGCATGCACGTATGCGTAGCTATATGCATGTGCGAACGCTACCTCGTCTTTACCGCATGTTTGGTACATCGATATTTATTAATATTAATATCATACTCGTTAGAAACCTCACTGTATTCACGTTTTCCATAATTAAAAAGTATTATTATATGTGGTCCCCCTATTTTTTTCAGATTGTTTTCGTGCCCCCTGTTATACTCTACACGTTTATAAATATTATCATGGTCGTGCTTGACTCAAACTACGTATTCGGACGTCGTTCTCTGCTCGCATTTTTCGCACACCTTTGACACAGATAACGCATAAGAGTGACAAAGCCACCTCGGTTCTGAGTTAACTTCTTCAGTTCTTACTTAAGGGCGCTCACCACTCCAGCGATTTTGCAGGGCGTCACGNTTTGTTTATAAATATCTATTTTTTGTTAGGAATACCATTCTGCCCCTTGAGCGATTCAAATTCCACGCTGCTCCCGCGGTTAGTACGCCGCGCGGCCGGAGGGGGCAGTACGGGTAGGATGAAACCATCGACGAATGCCAATGTACTTCTTCTATGGTATTACGCTCTTTTTCGGAATGAACCAAAGGGTCTATATTTTCAATATCCATGACTGTATCGCAAGCTTCTCTAGTCACCGGTTCATTACGATTCTTTAGTTCTTTAATACATAATGATGATTCGTTATTATTTTCATTTTCATCATTAGATCCCGACGGAAACATTTGCAACGATTCAACTCGTAATCTAAACAAACAAAAAATTGAATTGTATTATTTTATGTAACGAAAGCTCTTACATGTGTTTTATCAGCTGAAAATTAATTTTCGACTAAAATCAAGCATGAACTAAATTCAGGTTTAAAAAATACATACCTGTCAAAATATTGTTTCTTCTTGGTTAAGAATAGAGTAGGAACTGATGACTTTTTCGAAAGTCGAGTTGCATTTTGTGAATAATAAAAGCAATCCGTAATAAAATGTCTTGAATAAACCCTTGTTGATGGGGTCAAATTCAAATTTTGAACATTGCAAGTAATCTTCCACAATTCTCTTCTATTTTCATCTTTAAGAAATCTGAAACATCGATGATGCTCAATTATTCAGCCCATGTCCGTATATTCTATACAGTATGTATAAGATGAATGATCTAACCTGACTTTTATATAAAACATTCTTACGCTATATTATATTACGTTAATGCTTTATTACTTTCAAATGAAAAGATACACTATGATTTTTATTCTGAATGGTATTGCAGGTAATACATTTTATAATCATTTTGAGGTTATGTATCTGTACGATATCTCTCGTCACAATACAATGCTACAGTATACGCTACACTTGTGCAGTAAGAAATTCCGGGAATACTTGGAGTGACAAAGAGACCACTATGTCTAGCCTCCTCAACCTACCCCTACTCCTACTGTGGCCTCTTCATGTCTATAAATCTATGGTTTGCACCAATCAGGGCAAAGAGCGAGGGTTCTCAATGGTCCTCCTTCACTCTCCGTTACGATACGTGTAATAAGAATGAATAATTTCTTGCTAAGCTCAAATGTTAGCCGGTCCGGCCGGAGTAATAAATAATGTGACGAAATTATCAAAGAGACATATTGTGTGTGTATATTTATAATCTTCTTTCGGATACGTGAAATAACGAAACGTTTTACATTTATTTATTTATTTATTTACGTTTATCCAATTGCGCGAGGTCGAAATACATATGTATAGAATGTACTTTCCATTAAAATCGGTCGAGTGCTTCTATATGAAACAGCAAACTCACCCCCTTTCACGGCCAACTTTGAAGCCTGATTTCACCCTCTAAAAGTGTTTATCCGCCGATAAAAAAAAACACTGGTTCCTTAGATTTTGGTCCACTATAACATATTTAAAAATGAACAAAATCGGAGGGGGACACCTCAGGTACCTTCCTTGTCAGTCTCGGTGGTAGCACTAGGACGGAGGGTCGGTGCGGATAGGGGACTGCATACTTCTGAACCTATATCCGCCCTGGAGGCCAAGTGTCTGAGTGCGATAGCCTATTTGACATGCTATCCTTCGAATGATGTGGAATAAACTCATGCGTCCGGGTTTCGGGCCCTGACCAGATATCGACTTCGCATCGGCGTGGCCGGCTCGGCTCGGCCGCCGACTAGGGGCTCGAGGGGCGTGGCTTTCTCTTTTGCTCCTACGGATCGCAAAGGCCTCGTGCTTCCATTACCACTCTCAAAACTCCGGTCTCGGGCTTTCTACCCCCTGTTGTAAGGGTCTTGATAGCCGCGTCCCGATAATCGGATCAGGATCGATGTCTACACGCCGGCGAGAAAGACTCTCTCTGTACCCCGGGCTACGGTCTCGCCCCGTCCGGCGTGACGTTCTCCTTTGCTCTCTCGCGAGTCTTATGTCTCTCGACGGTGTTCTAGCTTGGCGTCGTTCACCCTCGGGCCATATAGCACCTTCCTTCCGTGGTTCGCACGGTGAATTGTCATTTTGCAACGACCGCGATCAAATAATTAACAGAGGAAATGGAGGATCAATTCGTCCATGAGCACTGTTGTTTCGAATTAACTGTGCCATCTACTCGTGTCCCTTTTTTAACCGTTAACCCTTTGTTGCCCATACCTTTTTCAGACACGTAATTTTATAATTATTATTTGTGTTTAAAATGCAAGTAAACAATTTAATTTCATCTGTTTTTGCCAATGTGGCTATTTCGAGTTACGCGTGTTGTTTAACTTTTTCGAGAGTTGATTCAGTTGATAGAACAAGTATCATTCTGATCGATTCTTTTATAATATTCCCATTTATCTGGAAATATTTAATTTCAAATGGAAATAGATTCAAAATCTATTTAAAGTTGGAAATCCGTAATAGTTTATTGTTCTTATTTCAAATACGAAATAGAAATGGTGTTTTACGTTTTGGATACTTATTTCGAATGAATTCAATTCATAAAAGTTACTCCGATTTGCCTTTATAAAAAACTCGGATAATCAAAGTCTTTTTTACGTTTACGGGTGCTCATTTACATGCTCATTTAATGATTTACAGGTGTCCATTTATTCGAGAAATATGAAAAATGGTGTAGAACGTAAATATATTAGAGACATGAAATCACGATTTTGTTTCTATGACCGAAAGTTGATGCATCGTAAATTTTCTTACGGTATTTCACTGTATATATATTGAGAAACTATTCTTTTTAAGCTAAGATAATATTCTAACTTCGGTTCAGTGGATGGANACATTTTTATAAGTGTGAAAGCTGAATATAAACTATCAATTTAACGTTCTCGAATAGTTTAGATTTCTATATAGGTTATCTAGATTTTTTATGATATATGTACTGAAAATATAGGCGTGAAAAAGATTTACATATACAGGATGATTCATTTTACATGAGACACCGAAATATTTCGAAAAATACGCATCGTACGAAAAAATTGTTCAGAATTAAAATTGTTCGTATCAGAGGGGCACACAAAGAGGAGCCATCAGTTTGATTGTAGATGGCTCTCTTGTCGATGAAAGTGAGGTTAGGCTCATTTTCTTAAATGGCAACCCCCATGTTTTATTGCTGATTCCTATTCTATGTACAAAAATAAGAAACTTTTGTTCGAAACATTCTTTTCGAAATGTGCATATTTCAAAGGTTATAAGTGTTTAAAGCTCAAATGCCCGGATGACTACGACACTCCCACCGGCGGCTTCTCTCCATGGTACGTGATCATAGTACCTTAGGAACAACTTAATGTTTGATCCTAATCATCACACAAAACACTCCGGTGTTGTCGAGGGATTTCCGCGACTAGCGATCGTCAATTGTTTGTGGCATCAGTCACGTTTCTTACAGATTCCAGATCCAGAAACTACTATGATGACGTACCATGGAGAGACGTGACGTACCGTGGGAGTATCGCAGTCGTCGAGGCATTTGAAGTTTAAACGCTTATAATCCTTACAATATGGACGTTATGAAAGAAATGTTTTGAACAAAAGTTTCTTATTTTTGTACGTAGAAAAGGAATCTGCAATAAAACGTGGTGGTTGTCATTTAAGAAAATTAACCTAACCTCCCTTTCACCGACAAGAGTGCCATCTACAGTCGAACTGATAGCTCCTCTTTGTGTACCCCTCTGATACGAATAATTTTCGTTCTGAACAATTTTTACATACGATGCGTATTTCTTGAAATATGTCGGTGTCTCAAGTTAAATGAATCACCCTGTATATTCGCGGGACATATTTATTATGCATACCATAGGTAATGTAAGTTTTCTATACTTATGTCCTACTTTGTACGCCTACCATAAGTATATTATACTTCATACGGTGTCTGGTGACACATCATAATTTACACAGTGTTAAAATATCATCATGTATTGTCACCAGCCATAGAGGAAGTAAATAAAATATCCGAGTATCGACGAAATTAACAGTTTTATAAAGTTGTACTTTAGATATAACCATTAAGTATGTATGAAAAATGTTTAGTTACATGAGGTGTCTTTATATTTTTCTAAACGTATTTTCAACGATGTTGCTTAACCTTTGGTAGATGTCTACTACAGCTATTATCTTTTTGCATGCGTCAAGAAATAAGTAGATATTCGTAGATCAATAGTAGATATATAATTTTCATCTATAATAGACATATATATCCTTTAGATATTTATAATATATATTCTATAGCTATATACCTAAAATAGATTCATACACTTACAAAAGATATTTTTTTTAGGTAGATGATAGACAATATACGTTTGCTATACCTATATACATAATTTAGACGATTAAGTTACGTATATTCAACTTCATGGGTTGCCTGTGCAGTATCGGTGAAATGTTAACCCTTTGCAGACGAATGTCGCCAAATAGACGCCCAAAAGCCTTTAGAAAGAAAAAGTCTCGTCCATAAAAGGTTAAGTTTAATTAATCTGTCCATTCTGATTACCCAAGACGATGCGTACCTCACTATTTAGAAATCTCTGAAAACGTATTTTCATAAATTTAAAGTGACAGGTTCAATACTTACTAATGTTATGAATTTTCAATTTTTTGGACTTTCCTAAGTCTTGTATTTGCAAATCAAGAAATAATTTGAGATAACATCAGATTTTTCATCATCTTACAGATTTCATATTACTACCAAACTGCATAACTGGGAGGATTATTACTGAAAATACTTGGTAAAAAGGTAAAGATATTGATAGCATAGAGGCGTTGATATCAATATCCCTATTCTAAATAAATTTGGGAAGCAATTTTTTATTGTAATATGATCAAAGCATAAAAACCTTTTTCGATATTAAAACCATCTTGATAACTTGAAACTGAAATAGAGAATGTCAATAATGTGACGTATAGCTATCAACTTCAGTTCAGATATTAACAATAGTTTGGGACTAGTATTGTATCAAATTACCATATTATCACCAAGTATTTTCAGCGATATTAACCTCTGTAGTAGTGGTGATGGCATTGATCCTTTCAGATTAAGAATACAGTATTGCCTCAAATTGGTCCTTGGACGTCAACTACTACATTTAGCAATGTCAAACTGATATCTCTTTAACATGAAAGATCATGAAATCCATCTTGACAACCTGTAACAGTAAATTAACTGTCATTTTTGATAATTGATAATAACTTCAAAATTTCTGCATCGTAAACAATTTGTATTTACTAAACCATCGATCGATAAACAAATTTTGTTTTACTAGGTATGCAAATGCATGTTAATTTTATTTTGATATTGATATTTTTAATTTAATATTGAGATTACGAAAATGTGTTCAACAAAAGTATATATCGATATGTTGAAATTATTAAAATTTTCCAATCCATTTCTGTTATTGTTGAGCATATTTTCATATTTCAACATTAAACTTGACATTCAATGTCAATTTAGATTAACTTAAACATTTACACACCCAGTTTTGTTCATTCATGAGAAGCATCTTTATACTTTCGATGACAGTCACCCTATATCTTATAGGTTAACTACGAAACTACTGCTACTACCAAAATGTTATGACCACGAGCCGAAGTTGTTCAGATCGTCAGGCTATGGCTTAGCTCACACTGATCATTTGGTATGTGGATCAATGTACATAAACAACGATCTATGTACCAAGTGCTACGTGCAAATTACGTCAAGGGCACTTTTGATTGGTCTTCGACCATGCCGCGTGACTCGACACACTCAGTGGAAAATAGGCTCCTGCAACAAAATACACATCAGGCTGTCATATTGGTATCACTGCAACTAACAAAATGCCACAAAGACGAAATTACGTTTTCCATCTTAA